AAAAAAAGAAAAAAAAAAAAGACAGAAAGTACATTGGTGGCTGCCAGAAGTTGGGGGAGGGAGGAATGGAGAGTGCCTGCTTCCTGGGCATAGGGCTTCTTTTGGTGTGATAGAAATGTTCTGCAAGTAGACATTGGTGATGGTTGTACAACACTATGAATATGCTATAAATCAGTGATTGTATACTTTAAAATGGTGAATTTTAGGATGGGCGTGGTGCCCACACCTATAATCCCAGCACTTTGGTAGCTGAGGCGGGGGGATGACGAGGTCAGGAGATTGAGACCAGCCTGACCAATATGGTGAAACTCCATCTCTACTAAAAATACAAAAATTAGCTGGGTATGGTGGCAGGCGCCTATAATCCCAGCTATTCAGGAGGCTAAGGCAGGAGAATCGCTTGAACCTGGGAGGCGGAGGCTGCAGTGAGCCTAGATTGCGCCACTGCACTCCATCCAGCCTGGCGACAGAGCAAGACTCTGTCTCAAAAATAAATAAAATTAAATGTATGAATTTTAAATGTAAATAAAATTTAATAATTTTTTTAAATTGCAAAAAGAAAAAGCCATCCAGGCACAGTGGCTCACACCAGTAATCCCAGTGCTTCGGGAGGCTGAGCAAAGGACTTTAGGCCAGGAGGTGGAGACCAGCCTGGGCAACATAGTGAGACCCCCATCTCTACATATTAAAAGATAAGGCCAGGCACAGTGGTTCATACCTCTAATCCCAGCACTTTGGGAGGCCGAGGCGGGCAGATCACGAGGTCAAGAGATTAAGGCCATCCTGGCCAACATGGTGAAACCCCATCTCTACTAAAAATACAAAAAAATTAGCCAGATGTGGTGGCACACACCTACATCCGGCTTTGCCTAGATTGCCCCACTGCACTGCAGCCTGGCGACAGAGCAAGACTCCGTCTCAAAAAAAAAAAGATAAAAATTAGTCAGACATGGTGGCACACACCTGTAATCCTAGCTGATTGGGAGGCTGAGGCCAGAGGATCACTGGAGGCCAAGAGTTGGAGACCAGCCTGGGTAACATAGTGAGACTTCATCTCTTAAAAAAAAAAGGTTACTGTGGCCGGGCGCGGTGGCTCAAGCCTGTAATCCCAGCACTTTGGGAGGCCGAGGCGGGTGGATCACGAGGTCAAGAGATCGAGACCATCCTGGTCAACACGGTGAAACCCCG